CTCCGTTCTTAGGTGTACATAAATTATTAACAACACCCATTAGATGTAAAGCTTCAGCTTGTGCTTCATATGTTTGAGGTAAATGTATATTCATCTCATCACCGTCAAAGTCTGCATTATAAGGAGAGCAAACACATTCGTTAAATCTCAGCGTCCTACCCGGCATAACTCTTGTCTTATGACCCATGATACTTAATCTATGTAGAGAAGGTTGTCTATTAAACAGCACAACATCTCCTTCATTAAGATGTCTTTCAACAACATCTCCAATACTTAAATTCTCTCCTATTAATCTTCTATTTGCATATCTTAGATTACACTTAGCCCCGTCAGCTTTATGTACATATGCAGCACCAGGCCAGCAGTCATAGCCTCTTAAGACAGCTTCTTTTAATCTTTTTATATTTGCTTCACATACACGCTCAGGAAACGTTAAACGTTTTGCTATAACTTCAGGTATTACTACTTCAAATACATTTGCATTTGGGTCCGGCGATATAACTGTTCTGCCGGAGAAGTCAACTCGTTTTCCTGATAGATTACCTCTAAATCGGCCTTCTTTACCTTTTAATCTTTGACATATACCTCTACCCGGCTTCATTATATTTTTTGATACAAGTAGCTGAGAGACAGCCGGAGCATCGGAGTTAATTAGCCGCGTACACTGCAGTTGTAAGAATTCCCATAGGCCTAAGAATTGAGGTGTATGTACACCTGAAGCTGCATGACTTTTTAATACATTATTCAACTCCACAATGTCTGCTAAAACACATGTTATATCATCTTCATTTGAACCCTGTTCACTTACAGATACTGAAGGTCTTAAGCAATTCGGGGGTACCAAGATATGCTGCAGCAGCAGCTTCTCAGGAGCAACAATATCTAATACTTCTGCGTCTACAGCTGACATCTTTTGAAGCAGCTGTAGAACAAACAAAGGGTGTAAATCTTCTTCAGTAAGCTGCGAGAGAGAGGATTCTTTTGCTTTTACTGCGTGTCTTATCTTCATAAATTGATCAAGCAAAGGCCTTACTACTCTCTTTAATACTCCTTGTGGGGCCCCACAGCTTGCGCACTTTGTAATTTTTTTGCATGCAGCAACAGTTCTTCTAAAGAGAGATCGTTTTGTGATGGGATCGTCTTTATATCGTCGCATGCGTTGAAGAGTAAGGGCTTTTGCTTCTGGCGACAATAATAAAACACCGCACTTCTTACATATACAGTATAATATCTGTAACAAATACTTAAAATAGCCGCAATGAAACACAGGAATACAGAGGCTTGAATACCCCCAATGCCCTGCGCACTCTAATATCGAATTGCCGCACGTCATGCAATTCACGCCGCTTCGGTTAGGCCCTGCAACAAACAAAGACAAAAAATTTACATATATATATATATATATATATGTATATATATATGTATATGTATATATATAGTATATGTATATATATATGTATATGTATATGTATGTATGGATGGATGGATGGATGTATATATATATGTATATGTATATATATATATATGTATATATAAATATATATGTATGTATATATATATATATATGTAGATATATATATATA